TCTGAGCCGAGATCATGACCTGAGCAGAAATCAAGGGTCAGATGCTTAACCAACTGAGCTACCCAGGTGCCCCTATCAAACTATTTTATATCATTAAAATTATATTTTTGCATCGAACTTAAGGCTTAATAAACTCTATGCATAGCAGTTTTAACTTAGAAATTCTATTCTTTTTAAAAAAAAAAATACTTCATTCTGTAAGTAGAAATATAAATAAATGTTTGGGTGGAAGCAAATTTGGTACAATCCTTTTGGAAAGCTTTTTAGCAAGATATGTAAAAAGAATTAAAATGATCAAGCACGTTGATCTTGAAATTTACCTGGTAATTTAGCCTCATAAAATGATTCAAAAGAAAAAAAGGGATAAATGAATATTTAACTCCATTTAAAAGATTTTCTGCCAATATTAGCTTTAAAAAATATAGCATCTATCCTAGATGGTTTGAATTACTCACCTACACACCCCAGATTAAACCTAACTGCTTAATGCTTCAATGCGCATTAACCCTATAAGTCTAAAGAATGAATGAAATAGAAATTCAATACTCAATGAAGGAACGGTTTGGAATCTCTCTTTTTTATTTATTTATTTATTTATTTATTTATTTATTTATTTATTTATTTATTTAATTTATTTTATTTTTTTTTTAAAGATTTTATTTATTTATTTGACACAGAGAGAGAGACAGTGTGTCAATTCCAGGCCTGGCCCATAAAAACTTCCCATGTACGACCAACTTCTCCTTTCTTCTCTCTGCAGACTCAATGTCAAAGCCCAGGAGAAGCTTGGAAGCCATATCCTAAAGATGCTGGGGATATAGCTCAGTGGTAGAGCATTTGACTGCATATCCTAAAGATGCCAGTGCTGCCATTAGCCTGGGTCCTTCAGTCATGCTGTAAAGCAGAGCCCCCACCCCACCAAAGGGGAACACTTCCATTTGGTTGGTCCATCATGTAAAAAGAAAAAAAAAAAAAAAAAAAAAGCTTTTGGTTGTGTCATTGAAGTTTGGAGGTGGAGGTTGATAATGCCACCAGCATTATCCCAAATAATATGGCTCAATGTTGACAACTAAAGAATTTGTGCTTGGTAATCTAACTGGAAAATTAAAAATCTTTGCTCAGGTTAATATTTCAACACAGAAAGTTTTGTCCTAATACAAATAAACTTGAAGCACCCAGATGTCAGGACCTTCTCTTGCTGCTTCCACTGTATCAATTGTCCTTGGGGCTGTGGGACTCATGGAGCTAATGTCTATAGCACTTAGCCTAGACAAGAAAACAGAGCTAAGAGCAATGTGGAGAATTTTAGAAAGAATACATTTAAGATCCTCAGTGGTACAATGCTTCTGACTAAAAATATCCTTAAATAGCTTAAGTAAAAAGCCTGAATCACAAAGAGCTACAACCGAGGTGTAAAATTGAAAAATCCTACACACCACCATGCAGAAGAGGACAGCAATAAAGAAGCTTGCTTATTTAGAGTACAAAACTGGTAGAAAACAAAAATAAATATCCTTGGCGTGTCCATAACCACAAGCCAACCTTCACAGAATAAGTCATCTGGAACTATATAAGTCCAGGATCAGTGCTGCAGGTCATCAGTGTCATCAAGTTCTTGAGCTCTTTCCACAGAGGAAATAAGATTTCAACAAATTTGAGAAAATGGAAATAAGAGTCAGATGTACTAACTATTTTGTAAGATATAGGAAGTTATAAAATGTGTAAAGAAGGATGTAAGAATAAGGAGATTCAATTTACCTCCACAGAATCCCAGAGAGACTGAGCACTTAGTGATGCCAAATAAAGGGGAGGATAAAGTTGAAAATTATAAATTAAAGTGAGGAATGCTTGAAAGCCTATATTCAGAAGCCTATTCACCCGTCTTCATTCACTACCCCATTGAGAGAATATGGAAATGGTATGTACCACCCTAAGCAAGGTGTAGAAGACTTCTGTTTAAAACAGAATGGAAATATCTAGGGACTCAAGAACAATATTCATCAAGGCAGAAAGGTTGAAAAATAACATTGGAAATGGAATCTATTGGATCTCTACAGTTTTACTGCCCCACCTACAGCAGAAGTTCAGCAGTCAGGAAGCTAAACCGTAAACAGAAGCTTCTGCAAGCACTGAAGACTCTGGGCATCTACTCTGACTACCATAAAAGTGTTAAAACCAAAGATAAGTTTCAGGCCCACCAAGAAGGAAAAACTAAGAGAAGACCCCCACTAAAAGCTGGGTTCATTGAATTACTACCTTGTAACATGAAAGAGAAGTAAACCCCACCATGTAGGAAGGAAGAGCACAGAGAAAACTTACTATCTTGACCTTGGTGCCCGATATTAGAAAGATGGATGTATCTGTCAATGTAAAATCTTTAAGTTATCAATAACAGCATGATTTCAGACAAAATGGACTTTGAAGGAAAAGCATTACTAGAAATAAAGAGAAACCTCATTATTTATAAAGGTTCAATTCACCAGGATAATATAACTACTTTTAGTTTTTGCCTAATTATGTAACCACAAAGTATAAGGAAAAAAGTCAAAACAAGAAGAAATAGACAGGGGCACCTGGGTGGCCCAGTTGGTTAAGCCTCTGCCTTCAGCTCAGGTCACAATTCCGGGGTCCTGGGATCAAGCCCCACACATCAGGCTCCCTGCTCAGCGGGGAGCCTGCTTCTCCCTCTCCCTCTGCCCCTCCCCATCATTTGTGCTCTCTCTCTCTCTGTCTGAAGTAAATAAATAAAATCATTAAAAAAAAGAAGAAATAGACAAATCTATCATTATACTGGGAGATACCGATATTCCTCTGAATAATTAGTAGAATAAGCAAAGTACCAGCTAAAGTAACAGCATAATTAAGAAATTGACCTAATACAAAAAACACAATATCATATTCAACAATTGAAGAGTACACTTATTTTTCAAGTATATATAAAATATGTACAAAAAATGGCTGTGTGCAAAAGGGCCATAATGCAAGTCTCAAAAAATTTCAAATGGTTGAAACCATTCACAGCATGTTCTTAGACCACAATACACTATAAATAACAAGAAGATAACTAGAAAACTCTAACTTCTTCACAATTAGGAATAAGTAGATATCAAGATGGAATCATATTGGATGTCCTGATATACAGTAGGCTTTCTAAAATAAGATACAAAACCCAGAGGTCAAAAGTGAAAAACCCAGGTGCTTGCTTTGGCGACATATAAACTAAAATTGGAATGATACAGAGAAGATTAGCATGGCCGCTGCACAAGGATGACAAACAAATTCGTGAAGCGTTCCATATTTTTTAAAAAGTGAAAAATACAGTAAAAGATGATTAAAACGAAAGGGTTGTGAAAGCAACTGTAAATAAGATATAATCCAGAGACCCACTAGGCAAAAAAAATCCCTTGTTTTAACAAATGAGGGATTCAATCCCCAAACATAAAGAGCACAACAAATCAGAAAGTGGAAAAATATCCCAATCCAACAGAAAATTCTGTATTAAATATCAGCCATATCATAGAACAAAATGGTAAAATGTTCAGAAATCCTATGAAAGATTACTCAATGTCACTAACAATTAGAATTAACAAAAACAATAATAAGGTCATACTTACCAATCAGAATAGCAAACATTTAGAATTGATATTCAAGAAGCGGAGAAATGTGGTAAAACAAGCATTTTCATACTTTATTGGCAGAAGAACAGAATGATGGGTTTTCTATAGTGTATACACAAGGATATGTGCAAGGATGATGACTACAGCATAATTTCTAATTATAAAAAAGGAAATAAACTACACGCAGATGATTAGATCAATGAGACCATTCTGTATTAGAGGCAAGGAGATTTCTAAGATGCATCCTAAAGGAGAAAAAAAATGCACCAGAGAACAGTCTGCATGAAACAATCCTCTTTATGGAAAGAAACACTATGTACAGTGTATATCACTCTAAACTTTTCGCATATTTTAACTTCTTTAATCCTCAGAAAAAATTTATGAGATAGATACTACTAACATACCCTCATTTGACAGATTAAAAAAGAGGCACAGAGATTGTAATTTGCACAAAGTCGCAGAGATGAGAAGGGATTCAAACCTAAGTGGCTGGTTTCTTCCTTTGTACTTCTTTTCTCAAATTTCATTTCCTAGTCTCCTCCCTTCTCACCCCCTCTTCCTTCCTCCCACGTATTTCTTCTCTTACTAAATCTTCAAGTGTCTGTCGCCTGAATCATGGGAAGAAAAGGGGAGGGAAGGTGCAGAAAGTACGTTTTGCTTTTCTCCATATTCAGCTTTATTGTTTGGAAGATCCTGTGTTACTTTCGTAAATAAGATATTCTAAAGAAAAAAAAAAATCAATGCATCCTTCAGTTCAGTTTAACAAATACTGGTTTATTGAGCCGGTTTGCCAGTCGGGGGGGGAGGGTGGATGTGAGAAAAATTAAATATTCTAAACACATCTAGTCAGTTTGACTCTTAGAAGTTGTTGGGGCGTCTGGGTGGCTCAGTTGTTAAGCGTCTGCCTTTGGCTCAGGTCATGATCCCAGGGTCCTGGGGTCGAGCCCCGCATCGGGCTCCCTGCTCTGCCGGGAGCCTGCTTCTCCCTCTCCCACTCCCCCTGCTTGTGTTCCCTCTCTCGCTGTGTCTCTCTCTCTCTCTGTCAAAAAAATAAATAAAATCTTAAAAAAAAAAAAAAGTTGTTAGCAGCGTTTGGGGGAGAATGAGGGATAGGGGGAGAGGAAGAGACAGAGGGAAAGACAGAGAATGAGAGAGTGAGAGAGAATGATGGAGACAGAAACAGGGCGGCAAAGACTAAGAGAGCTAAAGAGAAAAAGCACCATGAAGAAAAACAAGCTTGACCCCTCCTCGTTTGTACTCTGAACCGCCACTGCCCTCAAACTTTGAAAGCAACAGAAATCTAAGGTGTGTAGATTAAGGACAGAAAAACGGAAGTCCCCGATAACTTAGCGCCTACAACCCCACCCCGGCGGCGGCCACGCCCACGTTAATGACTTTCAAGTTCTAGCTGGCGTCGACCTCCCCGTTCACCGTTGCCCTTCGCCACAGAACTGTCTTTGAAGTCCCGCTGGGAGCAAGAAAGGGGGGCAAGGGCGGCATTTCCGCCGCAGCCGGGCGCCCGCAGCAGTCGCGCCCTCCAGCAGGGACGCAGGCGCTCGGCGGCCACAAGCGGCCACCGGGAAGCGAAACCCGGAGAGTTTCGCGGTGCCGAGGTCGTTCGGAGGTTCCCGGTCCTCGCCTCGAGGCCGCATCCGCACCGCGGCAGCCACAGGTGAGTGTGCGCGCGGCGCGGGAGCCGCGTGGCTTCCCAGGCAGGGGGCGCGGCGCTGGGGGCGACTGGCGGGGGCCGGGGGGCGGCGCGCGAGGGCCGGCGGGCTGTGCTTGCGCTGGGTGGGTGAGTAGAGGGTGGCGGCCGGAGTCCCGGCAGCCCCAGGGAGCGACCCCGGAAGCAGAGCGGCGACTCGCGCGGGGCCCCCTCTGCTCCGGCAGGTGTTTCCTGCGCGAAACCTCCTTGCAGGCTCGGTGCCCCCTTAGTACTGTGCACCTTTCCGGCCGCGCTGAAGAACCCGGCAAGAACCTGATCCGTGGGAGTCCGCCAGCTTACTGGGGCGGGGGGATTAGAAGGGATGATTAATAGACCCTTTTAGCTGTCATTTAACAGTAAGTATTAATGAGGTGTATGGGTGGACCCCAAAACTGTGCTAGCCGCTCTGGAGCACCAGATGAATTGGAAAGATGGAGGTGGTTTATAGCTTAGAGGCTAAATCCATTAGTTTGGGAGTCCACCTGCCTGATTTGAATCCTGCCTCTACTACTTAATTTCTGTGCACTCAGAACCAGTTTCTTCATCTGTCTTCCTTGCCTCGTCTTTGAAATTGTGTAAAGATCAAAAAGGAGTCACAAGAGTTAGAGTATGGTATATATGAGTGTAAAGCTATTGGAGCTGTGTCCAGCACTGCCCCAAGTACTCAGTAAGGTTAGCTTTTAATATTTTTAATAGTAAAATCCCTGCTTCTCCAAGATTATTATCTGCTTCCCATGTGGTTTTATTTATACAACTATTCCTGGAAGTCCTAGAATGTCTACTCCCCAGTTCCAAGAACAGGCAGGCATTGTTTCTCCTAGTTTAGCATTGTGAGAAACATTAGTACAAGTGTCACTTAGTGGGAATTGTCAAGGGATTCATGATTTCCTTTTTCTTTCTTTTTTTTTTTTTTAAAGATTTTATTTATTTATTTGACAGAGAGAGAGATAGTGAGAGAGGGAACACAAGCAAGGGGAGTGGGAGAGGGAGAAGCAGGCTCCCCACTGAGCAGGGAGCCCGATGTGGGACTCGATCCCAGGACCCTGGGATCATGACCTGAGCCGAAGGCAGACGCTTAATGACTGAGCCACCCAGGCGCCCCATGATTTCCTTTTTCATCGTTGAACTTTCTTAACACCGGAAGTTTCTCTTAATATCATGCCCGCAAGTATGACAACTGCAAGGCTTTGAACACTGAATAGACGCAAGGAATGAAGAATACATGAAAAGGGAAATGAGTGGATTTCTGCAGTTGGATAGAAAAGTGACATGTAAAATAAGTGGTTGGATCAGAGACTAAGCAATTTCACATTTGTAAGGGAGCTGTTCCTTGTGACCGAAAGGAGTGAAATAATACTGTACAGATCTTGTTCAGTCAACAAGCACCCATTAAGTGCCTTGTCCTGGACAAGACAGGCCATATTCTGGCCCTTAAGATCATAGAATGCAGGTAGAGAGACATTAAATGAGTAAGAACTGTCCCTGTACACTTCTCTATCCTCATGTCTGTTGATCTCTCCTTCTTTTTTTTCTGTAATCCACAAACCTCTCGTTTCCTTAAGTGAGTCAAGCTCCCTCTAGCCACAGGCCTTCTACCTGTTTCCTCTGTCTATAATTCCTCACTTCCCCAACCCCCACCCATGGCCTGGCTGATTTTAGACTTCCTTTGGCTCTCAGATTCAGTGGAAGTTAGGGACATAGAATTCTGTCATTGTCTTTAGAGCAGTAACATTTTGCTAAAATAATTCAGAACATATATCCACATCTTGGGACTCAGAAAAATGTTAACTGGTTTGTTCTTAAACAATTAAGAAGTAAATGTGGATAAATAATTCAAATCTAGTTTGTGCCTAGTTTATAGGCATAGTAGTCTTAGGATCTTCCAAAATTAGGGATGCTTCCTTTGGGTTCCAGATTGTACATTAATATTTTTTAAAGCAATAAGATAGAAATTTCAGGTCCCCAAGAGATGGGTCTAGGATTTCACTGTAATATGAGTTGTGGAGCCATGACTGATGTCACTTGCAATATTTCTCTTCCCTGATGGAAGAGGTTTATAATTTTCAAATAGCCCAGAGCAACAATGGGCCTATGGTGTCCGATAGAATAATTTTACCAGAGATACACATAAATGAATATAGTATATGATGCACTAATCTCCTCAGAAGCTCTCATTTAACAGAATTAGGAAGAAGTGTGTGGTAATCAGATTATAATTTGAAGTTATGTATTTGTCCTGAGGTAATTAAGATTCCAGTGGTACAATATGTTTGACTTCCTTAGAGACTTTTTTTCTTTTAGTAGAGGATAAATATGATGTTCTCTTTCTTGGAAGTTTTTCTAGGATTTGTTTCTTAGTAAGAGTAGTGGGGGCATTATTTAAAAGTTACTGTGTTAATTAATTAATTAATTAATTCACCCAGGACTCAGCCTAGTCATTTCCAAAACTGAGAGACATTACCTCTTGTTAATAGACCCTTAAGTTTGAGAAAATCAAAAGATCTTTAAAACAGCAAACAAGAGTGGACAGGGTGACATGGTGAGTATCATCCTCACTCCACAAGTGCTTTATTTTACTTGGCACACATACAGGTACAACTGTCACTTAACATTTTATACCTGAACTTATACCATTTTTCATGCTTGAGATACTGTGTAATTGCAAAAATTCTAAAACCTACAGCACAATGAGGACCCAGATTTTGTTTTGTAGTAGTTTTGCCATCAGGGATTTATTCTCACAACTCTGTAATTTAAGACTCAAAATAATGTAACCAAATAGGAAAGAAAAGAACAAATACGGACAAATAAGCTCTGCTTTAGTCTGTTTAGTTTCCTTTCCTTGGATCTCTGTACAAGAGGTTTTGCCTTATGTGTTAATTGTAATTAGTAGGCAGAAAGGGGGTTGGGATTTTAAGTGGAGAGATCAGGGGAAAAGGGTTCAACGAACTGGAAGGTCGAAGCACTGAATGCAATGTTTTTATTATTGTTGTTGTTGTTGTTATTGTTATTATTTTCTGTAGAAATAGCCAAACACAAACTTGTAGTCCAATTGTCATGATGCTGCAGCTATGACAACCCCTGAGAGTGGGCTCTCTGGCTAAAGTGTGTCTTGAAACATAGAACAAAGGGTCAGGCCTTTTCAGATTTACTGTTCAAGTTGGGCAGAACATATCCACAGAACTTGGAATCCACAGGTATTTGCAGTAGTGTGATCCGATAGCTAAACCGTCTGTCCTGGTGAACCATGTCTAGAGCCCAGACCTAAGGCTGAATGCTGGATCACACACTCCTTTTGTATAGATTGGAAGGTTCCAGTTTTGGAGTTTAATTTGGTTGCAATGTGGAGTCTTGAGATCACAGTGTTTTCTTTTTGGCTTTCTGCCTCATAGGACCCTCTCTCCGCAAAGGTTTGTAGAAAATGTCCACCATCCTTGGGTTACCCACAACTTCTTAAGTTGTACTCAGAACCACATCAACGGGGAATGGGATCAAGACCAAAGGGTTTAAATGACCATTCTGGTAGATGAAATGAATAGAAGAATATCCTATGTGTATGTATAGTTTCAGAATATCTTATTTCAATAGTCATATTTGGCCTATAAATTTGTAGACAATGTAGTAATATCAGGTCTTCTTTTTCAGAGCTCTTTAAATCATGGAAAAACAAAGTAAGTGTTTACTTTCGTTTTATAATGTTAAATCTGTTGTTAATATATTCTTTGTCATAGTGTTTTACTCAGTTTCTGAAAAGATATAATTTCCTTTGTTTTGTTTATGCTTCAGAACTCAGAGTCTAGTTCATTGTTTTGACTGTAGAGACAATCTACACATATATCCACTAAGTTTTCCTCTAAAAATAATAATAAAAAAAAAACTTAGATAAGCCTAAGGAATTTTAGTCTTACTGGGAAATATGTTATATAATTTATACTATATTCCATCTAGATCAGTTTTTCCCTTTTAATGTGCACTTTATATACATAAACATTATTTAACTCAAATTAACAGATAATAAATTTAATATGTCAGTCCATTGTAATAAAATCTTCAGATATATCCTTGCTATATATTTTATAACATTCACATGTGAACAGGTTTAAATAAATACCAATCGTATGTTATGGCTTTTTACTATCAAGAAAATTCTAGGGGTGCCTGGGTGGCTCAGTCAGTTAAGCGGCCAACTCTGGATTTCAACTCAGGTCATGATCTCAGAATCATGGGATCAAGCCCCTCATTGGGCTCCATGCTTAGCATGGAATCTGCTTTCCCTCTCCCTCTGCTCTTCCCCTTTCTCTCTCTCTCTCTCTTTTTATCTCTCTTGTTCTATCTCTAAAATAAATAAATAAATAAATAAATAAATAAATAAATAAATAAATAAATAAATAAATAATAAATAAATAAATAATTCTATCTTAAAAAAAAGGAAAATTCTAAATAAGATGGGTATTGACCAAACATATGATAAAAGACTTTGTCTTTTTTTAAAATCTAAACTTCTGAAGAGAAAAACAATATATATGGGGGAAAGTGTGAAAAACAAAATCCTGTTTTGTGAGAAGATTTATATTCTGTTTATTTTTGTTTAGATACCAAAGAGACATTTATCTCTCACCACAATGTCAGCCTTGCTAGATACATTAGATACTCTGTAGGACTAGAAACCTCAGCTTTCCTTCATGAAGTTTCATGATCTTCTCTTAATGTTTGCTATATTAATTTAATTTTACTTACAAAACTTTTTAAATGTACATTGTTACAGTATTACACTGCTAGGTCTGCTGCAGCATTAGGATGCTTCAGATCACTTTAGAAACATTCTTTTGGCCAAGGTCATAGTCACCTTTTAACTCTTCATCTTCATATATATAATTGTGTGTGTGTGTAAATATGCATAAATAGGAATAAAATGTATATAAGTATGTAAATATATAGAGAAGTAAAAATTAAATTTCTTTATAACATGACATTCCTATGATATCTGTAAATTATTTTAAGTTCCATTTCACAAATGCAGAAATCCATTCATCATTCATATGCTCTTTGGTCTATTTAACCACTTCCCCATTTGCTTGTTTTCCCTTTATATGAATTTCTGCTGAAATTCCTAAAACTGGGATAAACACTCTGGAGCCAAAACCGCAGAGATTATGAGCTTCTAATTTCTTGAATCTATCAGCTCCTAGATATGCATATGTCTTTACCATTGTTCAAATAATGGTACCTATTAAGAGGTGCCAAAATGTGACATATCATTCAAGAGTAGATCTGTTAGTTAGACTTGCAGTGTGTTTTCTTGAGATCTGGTAAGTGTGATCCCACTCAGGTTGGGAGTGGGAGCTGTGGACAGGGCCTTGAGAGCTAGAGAGCAAAGAGGTAGGCCACCCACTTGAAGCCAACAAACAAGGGAATGGTTGGGATGGAATGACCTGTGGTAATTCAGAGATCTGTAATAAATCAGGGTATGTTGCACTATCTGTTCAGGGAAAAGCCCAGATGGAAGTAGAGGATTCTTTGTTACCTGAATTTGCACAGTCTTCATGGACTCCATTCTGCTGAATGTATTATGAGACCAATTGAATGGAGGAAGAGGGTCGCTCACAATCCAGCTTTCCTACTGAAACCACATGAGTTGAGTGGTCTTTGAAGGCCTATGGTAAAGAAGTACATAGAAAATATATCAGATTGAAAGTTTGACTTACTTTTTCTTCTGTATTAATGCCATGCCTTCATCATTCAGTAAGAAACTCTTGAATTTATAGTTAGCAAGCCGTAATGAAACATGGTTTAAGTGTAGGGTCCACTAGATCATAAGTTGCATGAAGACAGAGGCAGTATAGCCTCAGAGCTCAACTCAGAGGCAAGATAGGAGGTGTTCAACAAATATTTATTGTCTGACTGGGATGGCTACTAAATAAGTGACTAGAAAACATATATGTTAGTTTTTTGTAATTCAGTCAGTTATGATTTTTGTAGGTCAAAATCAGTCAAATATTAGGAATTTCCTATGGTTCAACCTTATTGGGATAGTTGCAGAGTAAGCATTAAAAGGATATTTAAATACTGAAGTGTATGCATTATTTTACATATTTTTAAAATAATTTTTGCAGCAGTAATTATAGATATCTTTGAAATCATCCATAATCTTTCCATAACGATCCCTACATCTTTCTTCATTGTATGTGGTTTTAAACCACTGTTTTCCTAATGCCAACAGAATCAAAATATGGAAGTGAACATTCATCAGGCATATTTGAAAACTAGAAATTCAGCTTCAGCCACTCAGCTGTCTCATTTTATCCAAAACGGAATTTGTTTGAAACAGGATTCTACTGCAAATTAAGTCTGATAGCAAGCATTGCTTTTGTTGAGTGAAGAATTCACCTTACCAATTTTAGTACAGCACAAGATCATATAAATGAAAATTATTTAAATTTAAATTATTTAAATTATTTAAATTGTTTAATGTATTTTTCTTTCTGACATATATTTTATTAAAGTAGATATATGTTTACCTCTCCCTGAATTGCAGATGGACAAATGAATGCTCCTCATCCAGGAACAAATTTACCGCCTGGACATCTCCCTGTATATCCTTCAGCAGCATTCCAAGGTAAAACATTTGTTTAAAGAATAAAAACTCCCAATTTTTCAATTATTGATATTCCCCAAAGAGCGTATGTGTCTGCCTGTCTGTGTGTGTATATTTTAGTAGTGTCTTTGACTAAAAGTGCAATGATGAAATTGGCAGCCTAGTTCTTGGTTTTTTTGCTTGACTGTGTATTCTCATAAATAACATAAATGTAATTTTTACTTATACAGGATAATAAAGATGTAGAGTCAATAAAAACAGTAGTGAGTTTACATTTAGCAAATAAAGTTTGACATAAATTAAACCCCCAAATACACATTTTAAGTAAAAGATTTAATTGATTCTTCATCTCTGAAAATTGTCATCATGTAATCACATTTAGGAGATTTATCCCTGAGTATTTTTGAGTCAGATATTAGCTGAGGGTAATTGTGTACAGTGAGGGTCACAGAAAAGAGGTGACTGCTTAAAACTGGAAGCTGTAAGTAATAAAAATGCAGCTGCCTGGGGATAATTCTCATTTTCATTTTGTATTTGCTTTTGTATACATCCTGAATCATGCCTTACATCTAAGAAAAGCAGTTGAATCATATCACTCCATACTAGGGAATACATTTTTCCCTTTGAACCAATGAATAGAAGACTTAAGAGATTTTCATTTAGACAAATGCAGTTATCAAAATTACTAGAACTTTACTAAGTGGCAAAGTTCATGGTGCACCCAGATTTACAATTAGTCTGGCTACTACCATCTTGAGAGACCATCCTGGGGATTTAGGGTCAAAAGGAATCAGGTTTGGACAGAAGGGTATATCTGGTTTGTTTTCTCCTCTGAGCAAATAAATCTGCTTGGGAACTAATTGGCCTGTTTAATTGTCTAGCCAAAAACTTCCCAGTAGGGCCTGGATCTCAGTCAGATGTTTGCAGTTAGAAGAATGAGCTAGAAAATCTCTAAGGTTATAGTTCTCAAGAGTGCCTGCACTTAAGTAGTACTTGGAAGCTCTTAAAAACACTATACCAGGGCACTAGCCCAGGAAAATTAAAGCAGAAGCTCAGGTAGTGGGACCCAGGGGTTAGTAATTTTTTTAATTTCCCAGGTAATTCTAATGTGCTGCCAGGGCTGAGGATCGCTGCTCTGAATTCTTATATGATGACTGTTTGAAGAATTATTAGCAAGCTGTAATATTCATCCAAGGCACTTGGAGAATGATTTAATCCACCCCACAGATAATTAAAAATGGTTGATACATAATTAAATTTAGTTATAATCAGACTTGAGAGTTTGTGAGAAAAATAGCTTAATTTTATTTCTCAAGTCCAAGGCCACATATAGTTCAGGTCTTAATATGACAATGATGCTAACAGTAGTGATAGTTTAAAATTGAGAGCTCACTGTGCATAATGTAGATTAACTCATTTAATTCTCAATCTTATGAGGTAAATACTATTAATTGTCCCCATTATGCAGGTGGGAAAAAGGCATAGAGAGGATATATCAGGCTTCAAGTTCTGGCTTCTATACTTAATAGTTGTGTGGTGGTTCAAAAAACTTGCTCTATACCTCTAAGCCTCAGTTCTTTTTTTTTTTTTTTAAGATTTTATTTATTTTATTATTATTATTTTTTAAAGATTTTATTTATTTATTTGAGACAGAGAGAATGAGAGACAGAGAGCACATGAGAGTGGGGAGGGTCAGAGGGAGAAGCAGACTCCCTGCCGAGCAGGGAGCCCGATGCGGGACTCGATCCAGGGACTCCAGGATCATGACCTGAGCCGAAGGCAGTCGCTTAACCAACTGAGCCACCCAGGCGCCCTTAAGATTTTATTTATTTATTTGAGAGAGTGAGAGAGAGAGAGCATGAGCAGCGGCAGAGGGAGAGGGAGGGGGAGGGAGAAGCAGACTCCCCGCTGAGCAGGGACCCCCAATGTGGGGCCTATCCCTGGACCCTGGGATCACTACCTGAGCTGAAAGCAGATGCCCAACCGACTGAGCCATCCAGGTGCCCTAAAGCCTCAGTTCTTATCCATAAAATGGGGCTAATATTTTCCAATTCAGTTTTGTTTGGAGATTGAATGAGAGTATATGTAAAACACCTAGTACAATGATTTACAAATAATAAGTGACAAATATTTGTTGACTATTATACTAATAATATATTAAATCAATTGGACTTTATACAAATGAAAATATTATCCAAATTTCAGGTAATTCTGTATGCTTAATTCATTGATTTGTGAAATAATCAACTACGCTCTCCAAGAGTCTTGAGAAGATTGGAAATATGCTAATAATGTAACCTATGAACTCATATATCCCCATTTGGTTTGCCTGTGATCTGATCTTTGCACTGTAGCCAGTGATCTTTAAAAATGCTTATCTGTTCATATTACAGACAATATTCAATGTGTACTTCATTGTTTTTTTGTTGCTTTTATGATAAAGGCCAAAATGCTTAATTTGGTTCACCAGACCTGAGGGCTCCCCTGCATTCTCTTTAACTGTCTCTTAAGCCTGACTCTCTGCTATTCAAGTCGATGTGCCTTTTTACAGATGAGTAGAAACCCTGTATGTGTTGCTGTCCCAGGGCTTCTCTGTGAAACCTTTTTCCCTATGACCCTAGTTTACTCAACTCCTTTGTATCCTTTAGATCTCAGCTGAAAGGTGGTCCTCAGGGAAGCTGTCCCAACTCCTTCCTTTTCTCTCTCCCCATCCCAACACTTTCTTTTGGCATATATAGTCATAAAAATCTGGTCCCTTCTTTCAAAGAGCTTGTCTTCGACTCTCGTTAATCAACTGATCATACTGGTGTTGTGGATCCCTAGAGTGAAGAATAAATATAAAGTTATCTTCCCCATTAGGCAGTGAGGGAAGGGATTGCATCTGCATTTCTCATTTTAAATCCCAGTGCTCAGCACTCTTAAAAACTTTGTAAGATATAAATCGGATTATGGAATTCACTTGTCTACTTAAAATCCTCAAAGGCCTGTCAATCACACTTGGAATAAAATCTAAACTCCTTATGAATGGGCTCCCTAGATGAACTGCTCCTATTTCTTCACTGATAGCAGTTTCTACTCTTCCTCTCCTTTATGATGTTTCTTTCTCAAACATGCCAAATTCATTCCTAAAGTCGAAGATTTTTGCGTTTGGTTTTCCTTCCTCTTAAACATTTCTCACCAGATCTTCACACAAAGCTTTTCCTTCCTCATATTCTAGATCTCAACAGAGTTTTTTTTTTTTCTATCTAAAGTAACTAGTTGATACCTTTCCCTCTCCACCATGCATTTTCTCTATGAGTTCAATCTGAAATCTTTTTTTTTTTAAAGATTTTATTTATTTGTTAGAAAGTGAGAGCGTGGGCGAGGGAGAATGAGCGAGAGTACAAGCAGGAGTAGCTGCAGGCAGAGGGAGAAGCAGGCTCCCTGCTGAGCAAGGAGCCCGATGCGGGACTCGATCCCAGAGCACTGGGATCATGACCTGAGCTGAAGGCAGCCGCTTAACTGACTGAGCCACCCAGGCATCCCTATCTGAAATCTTTTAAAAAGAATTTATTTACTTTTTCCCAAAAGTTGCCCTATAAGCATCCTGAGGACAGATTACCTTGTTGATAGCTGTGTCCTCTGATTCTAGACCAGAACCAGTCACATTGTACAACATTGGTGTAAATATTTATTTATTCTAAGAAGGAATGAATTATAAAAACTATATTTAAAAGGTATTAGTATGAGATTTAGTCTCTCTTCTAAATCTTTTTATAATGATGTATGCATTTTGCCATCAATGATTTTTTTTAAAGTATTTATAAATTATATAATCTAAGAATAAATTTTACATAGCCTTTCCTGTTAAAATATTATGGAACACATTCCTTTGAAATTATATTCCATTCCTGTGGGATTGCTACTCTGTGCACTATTCATGTAAGCTTATGAAGCTTCATTGTAATCACAGATTCATGTGGAATACAGAATATACACCTATTAAATTTCTTCCTCTCCTGTGCTTATTAAATACCTAAGACAAGTTTGCCTATTGTAACTTTTTCCCCTCCTTGGTTCTCAAATTGTATTTTTCAGAGTGCTGAGAGCAGTAAATTATGAAATTTAAATTTGTAACCTAACTATCATAATGGCTTTTTTTTTTTTTTTCTTGTAGGATGTCTTAGGACAGGAATGTACCATGGGTTAAAAGTTCAGGCCAATTGTTAACCCAGATAAGCACCTGGACAATACTGGAAGTAACAACATGCTTTTACCTCTCTACCAGAGTTTCTCAACAGCAGCACTATGATATTTTGGGATGTATAATTCTTTCTTTTCAGGGAACTGTTCGGCATTTCAGGAAATATTTAGCAGCATTACTGGGCCTCTATCTACCAGATGCCAGTATCATCCTCTGTTCCAGCTGAAACAACCAAAAATGTCTCCAGACCTTGCCAGATATTTCTTGAGGGGGTAAAACCACCCATAGTTCTTTACATAAGGGAGGTACTGTTTCCTACCATTCCAGAATTATCATATTTTTATAGAGTGCTTTGGTTTTAGAAATGCTGACCCAAAGCCTTTGTTTTGGGCCTTTGACACAATGACATCTCTCTTTTCTATTAAAGTATTCCAGACTCTTTATGTAGGTGACTCTAGATCATTGTTGATTTTCTGTCACTTTCTTAGGTTTCAAGAGTATTTTCAACTGAGTTTTGAGCAATGGATAAGGCTTGGGCCAACTCTATTCACAGCCCCAAGCCCTATAGGAGTGGATATGAAACCACAGATATTTCATTGAAAAATTGCTGAAAGATAAAAACACAATGTTTAAGCTTCATAGAAACAGGATTTCTGAGCTGAAATTTCAGTTTGCAGAGTTTTAGGAGTAATCCCAAAAGAATTCATGTTTCATTTTCTGTGTGGTTACAAATTATTTCACCTGTTTGTATTTCAGGACCTCCAGAACATACTGACTACCCTGGCCCCCAGGTTGGCTATCCTGGCCCTCAGGCTGGCTATCTTGGCCCTCAGGCTGGCTACCCTGGCCCTCAGGCTGGCTATCCTGGCCCTCAGGCTGGCTACTCAATTCCACCAGCTGGTTATTCAGGTGCTGGCCCAGTAGGCTTTCCTGTCCAACACCAGCCAGGGTATAATCTGCCAGGTGGACCTGCAGGGGTACCATGCATGCCAGCACCACCACCTCCATTAGACTGTCCACCTGGATTGGAATATTTAAGTCAGGTAATTTCAAATAAATGAAACACTCATAAAAAATAAAATTGTCCTTATAGTTCACTTAATGAAATCAACAAATGACTAATTCACAAAAGTCTGAAATGATTAAACAACATTTAATGCTGACAAATTACTATACTTCTAGGTGAAGTTTACTTTTAAAGCAAAATACAAATATCTTAGGAAATTGTGTTTTCTATGATTTTTGAATATAATCTGTGGTAATGGCCAATAACAAATCTTTATTAAGCACTATTTTCCAGACTTTGTTCCTAAGTATAACACATGTATTAACTTATTTAATCCTTTTAGAAGTGCTATGATATATAGGTGCTAATATTATCATCATTTTACAGAAGAGGAAACTGAGGTCCAGAGAAGTTGTATAATTGACTCAGAGCCAAAACACTAAGGAAGTGGGAATGGCTTCTTACTTCTAGAACCTTGGTTCTGGATCTCACTGTCTTTAATCCCAACACCAAATAACTTCCTGGAAGGTGAAAAGTAACATTAAACTAAATTTGGTGTTGAGTGTCAATAAGTGGTACCAAAAACAAAGAGTTAATATTTTGTGTATAACATGATACACTTTTTATTATAATTAATAGAACTGCATTTTATGATGCTTTGTTCTTTGGAAGAACCAATTTTATTAACGCCACCAGTAAGAAAAAAAAAAAAATCCTGGATTTTAGTGTACTGCATGATACCATATCCTCGCAATGTGAGTGTTAGTATTGCCCAGTGTTGGAAATCTGATAGGTAGAGTAGGAATATGAAATTCTATTTGTCTGATCAATAAACAAATAAATATATTCCTGTGGTAACCAACCAGTTTTCAGTAAATGAATTGGCTCTCTTGTACTCTGTGTACTAATTCAATTTCCCACAGTGCACTTGGGCAGCATGTATTGTAAGAACTTTTCATAGTTCATATATTCTCCGACAATTTTCTTTTTAAAATCAAGGCCTTACAGAATGTATCGGGGAAGTTATTACCTGCTCCTAAAGATGATATCAAGCATACTTCAAATTTTTTTTTTTAGATTTGGAAAGAATCTCTTCAAATGGATAAAGAGTATTAATATTTCTTAAGTCTTTTCAAGAAGGAACTTTAAAAAAAAAAAATTAGAGGGATTCCAGTGTAAATCAATTTTATTTGACCTGAATTTGCCCACATTAATAGTGAACACATTCAATAGATTGTTTTTCAGTTAAAGATATAGTAACTTTAATTTTATACTTTTTTAGGTATAAAAGTTTAGAAGTAAGATATGCTATTATTAAATATTGATAAATATTGATAATTGATTAGATGCATTCCTTAAAATATAAAAGCACTAATATTAATTTGGTTGGTGTAGAAAGCATGGAAATATACTTATAGCTTAATTTTTTTTTTTTTTTTACTGTAATAGATAGATCAGATACTGATTCATCAGCAAATTGAGCTTCTGGAAGGTATGTATTCATTGTATTGATCATATTTCTAGAAAGAGAAGATGTTTTTACAGATAAAGGCATATCAGCAACCACAAATGTAACACTTTCACTGATTATTTATAAATGTCTCTCTTCATGATAATGAAATGATGGTAATTATCAGTAGCTCATTTCTGGAAATTAGAAGTCAACTGGTAAAATACTATTTTTCTGAGCATCTGTTCTCATGCTACAGACCCTAACTTACAAGGAAACCAATCAAAACTTACTTTTTCTCCCACTTCTCTCTAGAAATCATTTCAGCTGTTTTCTCCCCAGCCTATGATGATCTTGATATTGACACAGAACCAAATGCACTAGTTCAGATACCTTAGTACATTTCTAAAGCAAGTAAACTTCTTCAGTTTGGATGGGTATGTTTTGGAAAATTGTATTCTTGCCCACAATTTTTTTTAAAGATTTTATTTATTTGAGAGAGAAGGAGAGACAGTGAAAGAGTACAAGCTGGGAGGAGAGGGAGAAGCAGGCTCCCCGCTGATCAGGGAGCCCGATGCAGGGCTCGATCCCAGGACTCTGGGATCATGACCTGAGCCAAAAGCAGACACCCAACCGAGTGAGCCACCCAGGCACCCCTCTTGCCCACAAATTTTATTAGGAGTTCATATGAACCCTGTAAGACCTCTGTTCTGTGGGCTGTGGATTATCACCTTGGGTACAGGGCTAATGCAGTGTTGGAGGATGCTGACCAACAGACCTGGAGGCCTGGCTTCTTAGAACAGCACTCCTGCTCATGTGAATGGCCAATAAATATTTCCTTGGATACGTCACTCCTGAGATGCAAGGTAAACTTAGGAAGCCACTAGATATTTCAGGATTCTTGCCAGGGAAAAGAGAACCTGGATAGATTCATGAACTGTGGTGTCTTTCTTCTAGATATAAAGAGTTTAATGAACATTCATCTAGTTTTTAGAATATATCTGTTAAGTCCTTCTTCACCTCTCTGCAAAGTCCCTTTCCACTGGTAGAAATTGTAACATGAATTATAAGAGTAGAGCAATAGATGTGGTTAGAATGTATAGTTGTTGCCTATTTTATTTAAATTGCTTATCCTGTTCACTGTTAGATATTTATAATGTTCTTGTTTTTGTTAGTTTGTTTATACTAACTTTTCTCTGGAAAGGTGTTCTTTGTTGTTTGATAATTTGTACTTTGAATTTTTTAATATTTTAAGAAATTTATTTTTGACATTATAAAATCAAACCAAACCAAAACAGACACTGTACATTATACAGCATTCCATTTATAGTTTTTAAATGTATGATTTTTATATATATTTATGAAATATGTATGTATTAATCATGAAAGGTAAATTCCAAATTTAGTAGTTCTTAATTCTGCAGTTTTCTAAAAGCGGTATTTTTAATTTTCTTGTTTTCTTTTCATCTCAATGAAAGTGTGTATTGTAAGATTATGATAGTATAAAGAGATGAAGATTACTCCATTTATTTTCAGCATCTGAGTGTACGACAGGCACTTACACACTTACCAAGTTAAAACTTTATAGACAGTAATGATAACCATAGAGATCTTTTGTTTTATTCTCATTTTTTGAGTAACTAGAAGGTAACTTAGATTAACATAATAATAATAAAAAAATAAAAATAAAAAGCAATGTTGGTAATAATAATAAAAAAAAGAAGGTAACTTAGAGATTGTGTAAACCCATTGATCTCATTTTACAGATAAACTATCCGAAGAATTTTGAGATTAAACTACTTAATGAAACACTTAGATAATAGATTTCATGTTATGAATCAGCTTAATTTTTTTCTCACAAAACATGTGACTGTCAGATGTTGAGGTCAAGCGTGGTTCTTTTAAAGAAAGAGTCCAAAGCCTATCTGAGCCAGAGCAAAGGCACTTAAGGGAGGTCATGATGATAGAATTTATGAAGCACATCTCTATCTGACTAAAAGCATCCACACAGACATTAGAGAGTGTTTTTTGTCCCATATATATCTTTTAATCATTATTTTGGTGGCTCTGACATCCCATGACCCACGTCAACGAGGACTATGGACTAGTGGGACCATTAATTGTTCCTTTCTGGCTCTAAGCAAGGAGAGATTTGCAATGTGTGATTCAGTATGGGAAGCCCATTGGTAAGATATCACATGGGCATCAGCATCCCTGTGAAGAGATTAGCCCCCTCCAGAGTACAGAGCTTACTTAGGTTGCCAGTGGTCTACATAGCCTATGAGTTGCAGCCTTGGTTGCCAAGCACCTCTTCCGTTGTCTAATACCCATCTCCCACTTCTGAGTAACTACTGCTGAGCTAAACAAGGGTATTCTGGGTCCAATGTGATGTTCTAATTCACCTTCCATTTTCACCCTCTCCCTTTCTACACGTGTGCATTAGGAGCAAGCCCTATCATTACCTTCCCTCCATTGCAAAAACATAAGCCATGAATATGGTATATAAAAAAAAAAATGTATTTAATAGAATATTTCGTAAGAGTGTAAACATAGCAACCATCCCCTACATAATTGAATATATGAAAACTATACCAAGCAAGTGGATATTTTCTGCATACACCTAGCACAACTAAGACCGTTGTACCATCCCTCAGCAGCAGTCTGACTTTCTGACATTTCTTTGGAATTAGGAAGATATGAGTTGTTTTCTGTTCCATGTGTCACATAGGGACTCTTCATTTCTCTATGCCTTAACACCCTCTCCTTTCCCTTTCCCTTTTATCCTCCATCTAGATCATCTCTAAACACCTTTCCTTTTCTTTCTCCCTGTGTTACTTGAAGTATCATCTGAAAGTGGCATAACTACATATTATAGTATCTTAGGACAGATTCAGTATTTTCTTAGCATAATGGTCATAATGATTTCCTCTTTTATGTTTGTAGTCTTAACAGGTTTTGAAACTAATAACAGATATGAAATTAAGAACAGCTTTGGACAGAGGATTTACTTTGCAGCAGAGGATACGGATTTCTGTACCCGAAATTGCTGTGGGGCTTCTAGGCCTTTTACCATGAGGATTCTTGATAATATGGGCCAAGAAGTTATAACTCTGGAGAGACCACTAAAGTGTGACAGCTGTTGTTTCCCTTGCTGCCTTCAGGAGGTCAGTGAGCAATTACCAGGGTCATTTGTAAAGTAGGTCAGCAAGGATTTTTATCCTTTCATTGAATTATGTAATCAAATGAGATTTAAAGGAAAATTGGTCCATAAGCTCTTAGTTTATACTTGAGAGTAAATTGTCCAAGAAGAAAGGCAGTGGAAAACAATGAACAGTTAGCCCCATGGCCATGAGTAGTGTGTCTCGTGAAGTTGAGATCAGAGATCTCAGGGATGAGGCTTCTTGATCTTTATGGAAAGCTAAGAAGGTAGGGCAAGTCCCTAACCTACAAGGAACATGAAAAGCCTGGCCAAAGCCAGAGCAGTGACACCATAGAGAGTATCCTAGAATATCCTACATGTGTTCATCCCACAGTTTGGGCCAACCTCGCAGAGGGGCCCTCTCTGAAAAATTTCAGTGCCTGTTTTTTTATATATCCATAGAAATTATGAATGTATTTGAGCCCCCTATAAGAGGTATACACTAGTTGTGAGTACCTTTAGCTCCATAAAGACCAGGTGTCTATTTCATTTACTTGGCAGCCCACTAATAGGGAATGTGGATCTCAGGGGAGATGCTGGGGCACAGAGAGTTTATAGGGAAGTTGATTTTTGCCTGTGTCTCCACTGGCCTGAGACCAGCCCTGCCGGGGCCACTCAGTCATTCCACAGAGGGAGCTGTGCTAGCCTGACAGACACAGTTACAAGCACATGAATATTTGAAATCTAATACTGTACATATTTTAAAAGGTTAACTGAAGTTATTCATGCTGAATTATTTATTTTCCATATCATTTAGGTTAGATATAGTAATATTTATCCAGGAATATCTGAGGAAAAACTGGGAGTTTGATGTAATATGCTCTACAATATAAAGTGTACATTAACATATATTACACTATTGTAAAAAACGGAGCTAGGAAGTCATTTACTGATGAGCACACTGAGGTACTTTCAAGGTCACCTAGCTAAGTGGCAGAGCCAAAATTCCAGGCTTCATTTTCTTTCCATTTTGGCACCATTGCTACTCATATTTAGTAACTGCACCATGACCAGAGCTGTGTTCCTACATCTAAACCACTGTTTTTAAAAAAAGTTAAGAAAAGAGTTCCTTAACAATTTAGACATTTTTCATAAATATGGAGATTAAAAAATGTACAAAGGCCAGTGGAGCAAAGCTTTAGTGGAGACGATGCATGCAGCCTGCCCAGGTTTGTACCTCATCTTTTCTTCTTTGTAGTTGGGAATCTGATACAAGTTAATTCACTTCTTTGCTCCTCAGTTACTTTATAAATAGGGATAATAGTACCAACCTTTTAGAGATGTGTTATGAATTAAGGTGCTTAAAACAGTGTCTGACACTTCAAAAGTATTCAATAAATGAGTTATTACTAGACATTATAATTATTATGATTTATATATATTCTCTTGCTTTTATAGATAGCAATCTATGCTCCTCCTGGTGTACCTATAGGTTATGTTATTCAGATCTGGCATCCATGCATGCCAAGGTTTACAATTCAAAATGAGAGGAGAGAGGATGTACTAAAAATTATTGCTCCATGTCTTCTATGCAGCTGTTGTGCAGATGTTGATTTTGAGGTAAGAGATGTGGTGATGTTTACAGGTCTTGCTTTCCTCGTAAGGGGTAATATAATTTGGGAGGATGTTACAAATAAATTTGTGTGTCCTGATATTTCAAGAGGAAGACAGTGTGCTTTTATGTTTAACTTTGGTCAGAGAGGTGATTAATGCTCTGATGAAGCATCAGTGTTGATTATACTAAATGGAATAAAAGAGAAGCAGAGTCTTGTGGTCAAATAAATAGATATAAGCAAAACATCCAACATTTGAACATGGTGGTGTCTATATGGACGCTCTGTATATTAACCATTTTAAATAAAATGTGAACCTCGTCATCTAAGTCTGATTGCCAAGGCATATGAATCCTTCCCTAGGCTGAAATACAGGCTGCCAGTGCTCTGGATTCTCTTCAGAAGTTCTGACATCTTCGAGTTCCTACAAAAAGCTCACTTATGCAAAGATAGTTTTAAGAAAGAGAGTAAGATATACTTCCCAATTATGCCTCTTTTTATCCTTGTGTTAAATTTGGTCACTGTAAACCACAATTTATCTGTGTATTTACTACATGGAGGAATTTCATTATAGCAGTTTTTCCATAGATGGCCTAGCCTCGTAGCTCAAATTATTTAGTTGCAAATGTATAAAAATAGGGAGATTTTATAACTTAATCTTGATCTCATGATTCTCTTGGAAAATCACAAAACATGTTAAGCTGGACCAACATTTCCACAAAAAGGGGCAAAAATCTAAAACTGAGCAGGGCTGCCCCCTTACGATAAGATGTGTGAAATCTGACACTGTCCCCTGACTTCCTACAGTTTTCCACTGTCCAGCTCCATTCTTGGTATTATCTGCCTGGCTTCTTTAATCATATGATTTCTAATTCCTCTGTTAGACCCTGGTTATATAAAAATGAATCCTTCCCCTCAGTGACTTCAGAGTCGAATGAGAGAGACAGGCAATTCTAAGAAAACACGTGATAGAGACTTTATAAAGACTCTTACAAAGTCATATACATAGTGTAAGGGGGGAATTGAGGGGATGTATACTATGCATGTATAAAGACTTTATAGTTTTTGTTTTGTTTTGTTTTGACAGAGAGAGAGCACAAGTAGGCAGAGAGGCAGGCAGAGGGAGAGGGAGAAGCAGGCCTCTCGCCGAGCAGGGAGCCCGATGCGGGGCTCGATCCCAGGACCCCGGGATCATGACCTGAGCCGAAGGCAGCCACTTAACTGACTGAGCCACCCACGTGCCCCAAGACTTTATAGTTTTTGTATAATAAAAGTTCTCTATGTAGGAGTTATCATTCCTATGAAAGAGCCAGAGGACTGAGAGGTAATTGTTCTTTCAGCGAATATTAATAGAATTTTTGCTGACATATACTTTATTTGTAGAAAATAAGTGAAAATACTCATGGAACAAGTGAAATTGGATTGTGAAACTTTTATATTTAATGCTAAGGAATTTAGAAATCTCCCAGCAACCCTTCTCAGTGGATGCCTTAAAGCATCCATTGTATGTAATGAATTAACTACTCTCCTGTGCATCTAGAATGGTGCTAACTGGGTAACATCTTTGAGGGAGCTGAGAAAGTGGTCCCTTGAATCATTTTCTGTAGGCTAGGTAATGAAAAGTTTGGAAGCAGGAATTATCAGTACGAGGAGCCACTATGGAACATGGACTCCGTCATAGTGTCCATGGTATGGAAACAGAATAGAAAAGAGACAATGGCCTGAACGAAACAGGAGCAGGAACCATCCTAAAGGGAGAAATAATTCGGAGACATTTCATAAGTATACCAAGTGGGACTGATTCATGGCTTTGATGTCAGCTGAGCATGAAAGAAAATTTGGAGATGATTCTGATTCATATTGTTCTAATATCTGATGTTTAAGAAGCTCAATGAGGGGCGCCTGGGTGGCTCAGTCGGTTAAGCATCCAACTCTTGATTTCTGCTCAGGTCATGATCTCAGGGTCGTGAGACTGAGCCCTGCAATGGGCTCCATACTGGGCATGGAGCCTGCTTAAGATTCTCTCTCCCCCTCTCCCTGCCCCCTCCCCTGCCCCTGCTCTCTCAATCCCTCCCTCTCTCTCTCTCAAAAAAAAAAAAAAGAAGAAGAAGAAGAAGCTGAATGGATAATGATGCCATTAGCCAGGTTAACAAACTTGGAGAAGAAACAGTTGATTTGTGAGAACCTCATAATTTGTATTTGAGTTATGTTGGATTTTTGGTATGTAGAGAAAAAGTTTGGGATATGTTCAGCATATAGATGGTAGTTGAAGCCATGAGATTGTCCCAAGGGTGAGTAGAAGAAAGACAACTAGACTTTTTATCCCATGGAGGCAATAAGGGAATCTGTCTCCTTCCAGGACTTTTGGTAGGGGAAAAAAAAAAACAACTATGAAACTGCTAATACATTATAGTCCCCTCTATGAGTCTGAAGTCTGAATTCATACCACTGTTATGAATGAGGAACGTCATAACATAGAAATTGATCCTGAGTGGTGATGACAGATGACAGAATTAAATGCAAAAGCACACTAGAAAGAGATCACCAAAGATTGATTACCAAAACACTCTCTGTTCCTATAGAAAAAGCTGATATTCACAAGAACAGATCAAAAATTACATAATGTTCTAAGAATTAATTCACCACCAACAAACTGCATATAATACAACAGTCTGCAATCAATCATATAAGAAATATCTAAATAAACATTAAAGAGGCTAAAGAAGAAACAAAAAAAGGTCATAAGGGGAAAATGAGACTATTTGAAAAAGGACCGGAGGATCTGAAAACAAGCCAAATAGAAATTCCAGAAATAAGGAACACTCATTGATGAAATCTCATTGGAAGGGTTGAGCTGAAAATTAGATACAGGTGAAGAGGGAATTAATGAACTGGATGATCTATATGAGGAAAATAAATAGGAGGGTGGGAAAAGATAAATTTGAAGGGACCAAAAAAATTTAAAGGATTGTGAAAGCTAGAAGAAACTACTCTCGCATGTGCCAAAGAGAAGTCACAGAAAAAGAGAATACAGAGAATGTGCCAAGATAATATTCAAAGAGATAAATGGATAAAATCATGCAGACTTAATGCCATGGTTTCTCAGATTCAAAAAGTACAAGGAGTTTTGAGTTAGAAGAAGAAATGACACCCAGATACAACTTGAACTGCAAACTTCAAACTAAAAAGGGAAATTGAAAATCAGCAAGTGGGAGGGGGGAAGGTTATCTCTAATATGTAATTCCCTGACCATTAGGGATTATGAACATTTTACTCTAACTTGACTGGCTACTTGTGTTTGCTCTCTTTGAATTGTCTATTCATATCTATTGCCTGTATTTTTATTGGGTTGTTTACTTTTTTCTTGTCAATTTATAAATGTAATTTGTATGTTGAAGACATTGACCCTGCATCTGTCCTCTGATCTGCAAATAGTTTCCACAAATCTACCCTTTCTTTGTGGAACTTATATATATGTATTTATTTATATTTTTATATTTATATACAAATATGTGTCATATATGGTCGCATATATCTATTTTAATATATTCTCATTCTCCTGTCTTTATTATGAAGTTATCCCCAACTTTATATTTTATTTACTCCTTTTTTAATCTTTTTATATTTAAATCTTTAACTTACCAGGAATTTTATTTGTAGAAGATAGGATCAAACATTGTTTTCCTTCAGATGGCTAGACAGCTGTGTCATCACAATTTATTAAGTATTCATTCCTTGCTGAATTGAAATACTGTACATTAAATTCCCATAAATAATGGAATCTATTTCTAGATTCTCCTCTGTTTCATTGATCTAATTATCTGTTCTTACAACAGTGCCTTATGATTCAATTATGGCAACTTAATGATGTATTCTATATCTGGTCATAGCCAAACAGCCACTTATATTCTTCTTTATCATATTTTTTGCTACTATCATATTTTTCCTTTCCTGTGAATATTAAGGCAGTTTTTCAAAAGTTAGAATCCTGGGGCGCCTGGGTGGCTCAGTTGGTTAGGCAACTGCCTTCGGCTCAGGTCATGATCCCGGAGTCCCGGGATCGAGTCCCACATCGGGCTCCCTGCTCAGCAGGGAGTCTGCTTCTCCCTCTAACCCTCCTCCCTCTCATGCTGTCTCTCATTCTCTCTCTCTCAAATAAATAAATAAAATCTTTAAAAAAAAAAGTTAGAATCCTATTAGTATTGTATTAAATCTGTATACTATTTTTTAAAAATTAGCATTTTTATGATGCTAAATCTGTCTCATCCCAGAAATGTTATATCTTTTTATTCATTCATATCTAATTTTATATTCTTCATAAGATCAAATGGGTTTCTTTATATAGAACCTCTATCTTTTTTGTTAAAAATTTCCTAAGTAATTTATAGGCATTATCACTATTAAGAAGGAATATAGATGTATTAGGTACTTATTCTTAATATTGAAAAAGGCTATTTTTTTACCTTTTATCCAGTCTTCTGACTAGATTCTAGTATTTAACTTAAGAAACATTTTTGCTTATTTATACTTGTTTTTTCTAGTTAAAAATTACAGAGCAAAGTGAAATCATTTTAACTTCTCATGTTTATTTACCAATTAGCTCATTTTCTTTTCTAGTCTACTTCAGTGGCAAAACTGAATAGTAATGCCAATTGTGAGAATACCTGCCAAGTTGATGCCTTCAATTGAAATGTTTCACAATTTAAAAAGACATTGACTATTATTTTTCATATTGTTTTTCTAGTCCTATTTTACCTAGAGTAGGAATTAGCAAAAAAAAAAAAGATGAGATAGAAAACATTTTAGACTTTATGGGTCATATGGTCATTGTGTGCAACTATTCAAGTCTGTCATTGTAGCATGAAAATAGTTACAGACAATATATAAACACTGCATATAACTGTGTCCTATTATGACTTTTTTACAAAAAAGGTGGCTAAGCTAGATTTGGCCCACTGATCATTGTTTGCTGACCCCTGACCTAGATTTTTATTAAGAATTGATACCTAAGTATCTAAAAGCAGGGTATCAGGGCGCCTGGGTGGCTCAGTTGGTTAAGCGACTGCCTTCGGCTCAGGTCATGATCCTGGAGTCCCGGGATTGAGTCCCGCATCGGGCTCCCTGCTCAGCAGGGAGTCTGCTTCTCCCTCTGACCTTCCTCCCTTTCATGCTCTCTGTCTCTCATTCTCTCTCTCAAATAAATAAATAAAATCTTTAAAAAAAATTTAAAAAAAAATAAAAGCAGGGTATCAGAGTGGTCATGTTTATAGATTCTGGAACAGAGTGCCTGGGTTTGAAATCCTCCCCACGACTCCTTAAATGTGAACTTAGACAAATTATTTAACCTCTACTTGCCTCAGTTTTTCCATACGAAAACTGTGTTTAATAATAGTACATATTTTGTAAAGATACTGTGAGGGGGGAAAAATCACCTGATACTTATAAAGCATTTATATGTTACACATATGCTAAATGTTATATAAATGCTTAATTAGCTAATAAATAAAATACTTTTTCAGCATCTGATATACCAATATGTTTTGAATTACATGATGTCCTAGCATTATACAATTTATTACACTATATTCTTCTGATACTTACCTAGGTTCTATGTACTAATGTTCTATTTGAATTTTTTGCATTTATATTTATAAGATGAGCCTATAGATTTATTTTTAGAATACCACTATCAATTATCAGTATAAATGTATAGGTATATAATATTAGTTTATTATTTCTAGAAGTTGCAATCATTTTATTGTATAAATTTTCCATTTTTAAATACCTAGAATTTAGCTAAAAATTACCTAATCCTATTTACTTTCCAGTTATAAATCATTATTCACATTTCTGAGCCTTTTCATAAAAAATTACATGTTCTACTTACATAAATTTTGGTAAATTTTTAAATTTCTTACTATAGGAATAAAAAGGAGAAAAGTCAATATTGGTTAAATCTAGTGGTAGGATTATGGTGGCTTATAAATTATCTTTTGTATATTTCATTTTAAAAATACTTCAGAAATTAAAAATGACTAAATTTAAAAATAAATATAAGATTTTATTACTAGTTTCAAATGCTGAGGACAGCTATTAATGTATAAAACACAGGGGCGCCTGGGTGGTGCAATTGGTTAAGTATCTGACTCTTGGTTTCAGCTCAGGTCATGATCTCAGGGTCCTGGGATCCAGCCCCGTGTCAGGCTCTGTGCTCAGTGTGGAGTCTGCTTGAGATTCTCTCTCCCTCTCCTTCTACCCCTCCCACTTACGCTCTCTCTTTCAAATAAATAAATAAATCTTTAAAAGCAAACAAACAAAAAACACAGGTATGCAAGAGGAATTTGTATTAGTCTGTTCAGCCACAATAATGTTGCATAACAAATAACCCCTAAAGCTCAGTGGCTTAAAACTACAGGTATTTATTCTCATGCTAATGGATATGCAGGTCAGTTGTGTCTCAGGGAATATACCCAGGCACAAGCTAGATGGCTCTGATTTGGGCTGTAAGTTGGCCTCAGGTCTACTCCAGGTTATTCATTCTGGAGCTGTAGCAAATGCAGCTACCTGGATCATGTATTTCTAGTGGCTGATCACTGGAGAGCAAGAGCCAGGCCAAACTACTTAACCATGTTTGAGGCCTCTGCTCATGTCACATCTACTAACATTCCATTAGTCAAGCAAGTCATATGGCCAACCCTAAATATCAGTGTACAGGGACATATACTGGGCCTTCAATTGGTGGGGGAGGGTAGTGCATGAATATTTGCTGAACAGTAATCTATGCTATCACAGTCAAGTTAGAAGTTTATTTCAGATTTGTAAAGAACCCATCCACCCATGCCAAAATAAAATGAGTCAGCTCTTTTTAATTTCCCCGCATTTTTTTAAAGATTTTATTTATTTGTCAGAGAGAGAGAGAGCACAAGCAAGGGGAGCAACAGAGGGAGAGGGAGAAGTAGGCTCCCGCTGAGAATGGAGCCCGATGTGGGACTCAATCCCAGGACTCTGGGATTGTGACCTGAGCCAAAGGCAGACACTTAACTGAGCCACCCAGGTGCCCCTAGTTTTCCCACATTTATTTTGCTGTTCTCAACCTGAGCTAGGGCTTCTGTGGGTGTTGCTAGCACTTGTGGTACCTTGTGCACATTTGAAAAGGACACTTCTCTTCCTGGTTTGACATAATTCTGCATGCACATACCATGATAAGTGTGGGATAGCCCACACTTAAGATGGCCCTGGGCTTTCCTCAGGCAGAATTGTAAAATTAGAAAATTTTACTTTGGAGCTCTTTTTATTATCTGTCTTTTTTTTTTTTTTTTTAAGATTTTATTTATTTATTTGAGACAGAGAGAATGAGAGACAGAGAGCATGAGAGGGGGGAGGGTCAGAGGGAGAAGCAGACTCCCTGCCGAGCAGGGAGCCTGATGCGGGACTCGATCCAGGGACTCCAGGTTCATGACCTGAGCCGAAAGCAGTCGCTTAACCAACTGAGCCACCCAGGCGCCCCTATCATCTGTCCTTTTTGTTGTTCACTGTCTATCCACCCCACTGTTCAGTCTTACCCCAACTCTTGACCTGTGGCATCCCATCAAGTTACTTATTGGTTATTTTCCTTTACTCAAAACTGCCAGTCTTCTTTTCCAGGCTCTTTGCATTTCATATTTTCCTACTGATGGTGGTAATGACTCCCATCACATTTAAACACTCAACTTATGTAAACTCTCTGTGCTTCTCTTACAGCATGGGGGATTAATTTAATACCTTCCTGATGGCTTCTAGAAATTTCACCAAAGAAACGTTTTATATTTGTATCTTTTTCTGCTTAAATTTTGTTTTAGATCAACTCAATTCATCAATTACTGTCTTAATGTAGAATAGAAAATGTTAAATATTTAAGCAAAACTACTTTCATGTTAAGTTCTCTGAAACAAAGAAACAGGTTTCTTTTTTCATGCATCTAAAAGTAGATACAAGAATCTATATGCATTTAACGAGTGATATAATGTTCATAGTTAAGAATTGCACATAATTTTGATAGAGTGATATTTCACTTTATTTCAACTTTTAGTTTGTTACTAGTTTTCTAGAATTCATTAAGAATTTTTTTTTTTTTCATTTTAGATTAAATCTCTTGATGAAGAAAATGTGGTTGGAAAGATTTCCAAGCAGTGGACTGGTTTCATGAGAGAAGCATTTACAGATGCTGATAACTTTGGCATCCAGTTCCCTTTAGACCTTGATGTGAAAATGAAAGCTGTGATGCTCGGTGCATGTTTCCTCATTGTGAGTCTATTCTTGCTAATCTTGGGTTTAGATGGTTTTTCTAGTATCATTCTGAAATGATTTAGTAAGTTGTACATTTTTAAATGACCTTGTTAAATTTATAGGTTTTATTCCAAGGGGGCCCCTTTTAATTCTAGCTCTGAAATTTCATTATCTCCTGGTATTCTGGGTTTGCAGGTGACTAGTTTCTCTGGAGAGTCTATGCAGTTTCATTTGGTAACAGGAGGACCTCATGTGTTAAGGAGGGGCCCTGGTCTTTGGGGTTTTTATTTAAAAATTGAACTCAGTACTGTGAAAAAGAGTTTGAATTTGGGCTTACATGGAATAGACTCAGTAAAACAAGATTTTGTCCTGATTCATTATTAAATTAAATCATCTAATACAGGAGTGCAAACTGCAATAAGAGTAAACATCCAATCAAGCCATTAAGTAGAACTGCCATTTGAAAGGAATTATGTGGGATAGAGCTGTGATTCTGAACTTATCTTCACATTTAATCAACCAGGGAACTTTAAAAAACCACAAGGATCAGGATGTACCCCAGTTTAACTAAATTAGAGGCTCAGAATTAGAAGTTTGTATAGTTCCCCAGGTGACTCCATATGCAGCCAAAATCAAGGACTCCTGGGACAGAGCAAGAGTATCCAACCCTAGCTGCTCAGTAGAAACACCTGGATAGCTATCACATTCCCTTTGTCAAGACTGCATCCAGATAGTAAATCAAAATACCTGAAGTGGGACCAAGCCTGCAAGCTGTTTAGAGCATCAGGTGATTCCAATATGCAAGGAAGGTTGGAGCCACTAGATGAACATCTTAAACACTGACATGGGGATGCAATGCCAAAAACACTAAAAAGTGAGAAAATATACAGAAAAAGAATCCAGTTACTTCAACAAATAAGTGTCAGTAAAATGAAAAGATAAAAATTATATAAAAAGAGGGGCGCCTGGGTGGCTCAGTTGGTTAAGCGACTGCCTTCGGCTCAGGTCATGATCCTGGAGTCCCGGGATCGAGTCCCGCATCGGGCTCCCTGCTCGGCAGGGAGCCTGCTTCTGCCTCTGACCCTCCCCCCTCTCATGTGCTCTCTCTCTCTCATTCTCTCTCTCAAATAAAATAAAATCTTTTTAAAAAATTATATAAAAAGAGAGAGAAACTTAAGCAATCTCAACTTAATGCAATTTATAGACGGTATTTAGATACTGATTTGAACAAATGAATACAAAAAGACATTTAGAAGGAATTCAGAGAAATTTGAACATTGGCTATTTGATGATATTAATAGAGTATTATTTTTTAAAAATATGCTAATGGTATTGAGCTTATATAAAAACAAGAGTCCAAATTTTTAGGGGCACACACTAAAGTTGAATTTCAGCATAAAATGGTATGATATCACAGATTTGCTTTTAAATAATGAGGGTCAGGGCAGGGGGATTTAGGAGATAGAGTAATTAATGAACCAAGATTGGTCATGTTAATAATTATTAAAACTTGGTGAGTGGCCATTAGGATTTTATTTTGCTACTCTATCTAATTTGGGATAGGCTCGATGTTTTCTGTATAAAGTTTTAAATATAACCACAGTTCGGTTTAAAATCTGTGTTTTCACTGTTTATTTCACGTGAAAAGTAAAATTAAATTTAACCTTAGGAAACTGTTTGACCAGAGGTACACACACAATAACTGAAGATATGGTGTATAAAGGGAAGAGAGGACAGTCTGGGGTGTTTGGATAGATGAGAAATGGGGTTGGGAGTTGTGGTGGGGTTATTAGGAAATGACTGTGGTGTACATTGGGCCTCTTCTAAAGGACTTTTAAAGATTGGACAACTTCTTGTAGATGTGGGGAAGATAGTGAAAATTGTTTAGTTAATTGGTTGGTTTTAAACTAGGTATAAATAAAAAGCTATAAATCCAAATCTCAGAAAGATAAATCCTGGTGACTATGTAAGAAATGGATTGATGAGAGGTAAAATTAACAACAGTGCACTTGCAAGTGAATGATGATAAGGATTAAATTATTTCTGTGTGAAAAGATAAAGGAAAATGATAGATGTGAGAGAAAATCCATAGGATTTGATGAAAGTCATAGGGAAGGGGGTCTGATTAGACACTGATGTAGTGAGACAAGTTGGGGAACACAGTGGACAAGTTTGCGAGAGAAATCATAAAACTGGGCCAAAAAAATCTAAGATGCATGCTACCTCTAAGATGGCTGTCATTCTCCTGAGAAAATCTGAAAGTTGTACATTGAATTCCAGTCTTAAGAAAAGTTGTATTACTAGAGAAGGAGTACAAAAAGTTAAGGAAGAAAGATCAAAAATAGGAATATTCTGAGTGGCATGAGAAAAAGTGAAATTTAGAAAAATTACCAGAGAATAAATTAAATTCATGCAGGTTATCAGTAAGTGAATAGAATTACAGGATTTACATGTTATTATATTTGAAAGCTATCAACTTTTCCCAGATGTTCCCTGCTTTGTTGCTGAAAACTCATTTCTGTATTTTTGTTTTTATCTAGGACTTCATGTTTTTTGAAAAGGGTGGAGACGGAAAATAAAAGGAGTGTGGTAGTGGATTAATGAAAGTCTCCTCAGAAAGTTTGAAGTCTGTGTATTGATTAGGACTATGTAAAAGAAAAGCTCACTGTTTTTTTTTTCTTTATTGAAATGACTTATAGCATATGTGAATTATATGTGAAAATGACTTTTCAAATTATGAGTTTATTTTCTATATCACTTACTTAAAAAACGTTTTTATGCATTTCTTTTATGTCATACATCTTCTTTTTCTTTATGTATTTTGGAGAAAGGACATGGGAATTTTTACATTCAATCATGAAACTTCCCATGGTAAATTGTTTTGAACTGTAATCTCTTTTATTTTCAATTTTTAGAGAAAATTATTTAAAGCCTTATCAAAGTAATTTTAATATAAAAAGTTACATTTTATTAAATATAGTTCCAATTTACTTCACATGTGTAACAACTGTTACTTTGCAAATACCATATATTCACATAAGTTAAAAATCAATATAATTTCAGTTTCCTTTACAATGTCAAAATAATACTTAATATTCATATTACCAAGGAACATAAAATGTGTATTTTTTTGTTCAGCAAATTACAGTATATTTAATTTCTTTTATAAGCTAATCTGCTACTATAAAAAGATTTTTGTATTGACAAGACAATATTATTGATGTTTTAATGATTTCCAATGAAAAAGATATGTCCTAAAGAAGAACACATTTAAAGACTCACTATGAAACTGGAACATTGTTGTAATTTTTGAAGGAATTATTTACACATGGAATGAATGGTTAGCTCCTGTATTCATTTTATCATTCATAGAGCATAATAGTTATGAGGTCACTCAGGTATTAAATAGAACATATATATTCATCTGAGTAGAAACTTCAGTAATGGTCTGCTGGATTATTTACACCAACAATCAAATAACTGATTTAAAAATTATTCATACATTTCTTTGCATATTTGATTTTTATTTTTAAATAAACTGTGAATAGTCAATTTAGATGGTATTCTGAACATTACACATTTACCACCTGTTCCCTTTCAGATCTCCTTTAAAAGTAGCAAACGCATATGATGATCTTTATTAAAATCCATACCAGTGCTGTAAAGTAATATTTCTGTCAGAAATTTAAAGGAATTTTTATACTCTATTTTGTAGGAAAGAGTATACGTCTAACTCACAATTTAACTAATGCAAAGAAAAAGTGTGTTTAGGAAATAAGGACTTGGGGGGAGAGACTCCCGTTCATCTTTAGCAGAACTCCAGCAACACCACTAGCTCCTAGTGTTGAGAACATTGGGATGGCAGGGGAGCTACAGGGAAAGTGACAACCTTTCATTAGCCCAGACAGCCGGCCCCCCATGCCAGATTCCAATAATGAGGTGTAACTGAGACACTCGTGTTGAGTTTACAGTTGGTACAGACAGCATGCCAGATAAAATGAAGGTATATTCATTGCTGTTTCTTAGTGGCTACATCTTACTTTCATTTTCCCTCTGCTCTCCTACTCCTCCTCCCCGTTCTTTGCATAAGATTCAGGAACTCTAGTTAAGCAAAATAAAACTACAACTGATCTAGGGGGGTGGAGCAAGATGGTGGAGGAGTAGGAGACTTGGATTTCGTCTGGTCTCAGGAATTCAGCTGGATAGGGATCAAACCATTCTGAACACCTACAAACTCAAAAGGAGATCAAAGAAAAGAATAGCAACAACTCTCTGAACAGAAAAGCAACCACTTTCTGGAAGGTAGGATGTGCGGAGAAGTGAATCCGAGGCGTTATTCGGGAGGATAGCGGGGGACGGGGCCTCAGTCAGCCGCTTCTGGCAAGTGATAGAGCCGTGGAGCACAAAATCGGAACTTGTAGAAGTCTGCTCCGCTGAGGGACGTTGCTCCAGTGGCTAAGCAGGGAGTGGAACCCTCGTGGGACAGTGTGGTCTCAGGACCCTTGGGGTCACAGAAAGACTGGGGATGCCTGAGTGCGGCAGAGCTCCCAGGGATCGGAGCAGGGAAGCCGGCTGCAGAGACGGAGCCGAGGAGTAGACTCTCAGCTCGGGGTTGCCATAAACCATGATCCGTGGCACAATCGGGCCACTGCTCCTCCAGCAGGGACTGAACAAGCGGCAGATCCGGGGAGACTCCCCATCCTCCCCCGCAAGGAGCGGCATGGGAGCACACCACAGGGCTCTGCTGGGTTTGGAGACTCCACACTGAGTCGGGTGCCAGAGATAGAAATGCTTGGTCACAGGCCAGGTGAACACAGAGTGCAGCAAGAGACTGGGGAGACGGGAGTGACTGACTGCTTTTCTCTGGGGGCTCACTGAGGAGCAGGGCCCCAAGTTCTTGGCTCCTCTGGGGCGGAGATTGGGAGGCCACCATTTTCACTCTCGGTGTCCAAAGCTGTATGGAAAGCTTGCAGGGAACAAAAGCTCCTGAGAGCAAACCCAAGCAGATTACTTAGCCCCAATCTGGCTAGGGCTGGGCAATTCCGCCTCTGGCAAAGACATTTGGGAACCATGGCAACAGGCCCCTCCCACAGAAGATAAGGGAGAACAGCCAGCCAAGACCAAGTTTACCGATCAATGAGAATGGCAGAACTCCAGCACTAGGGCAATAATGCACATAGAATCTCATGGCTTTTTTACCATGATTCTTTAGTCTTTCAAAGTTAATTTTTTTAACTTTTTTTTTTTTGAATTTTTCTTTTTCCCTTTGTCAACCAACATCTTATCAATCCCTTTTTTTAAAAACATTTTTATTTTTCATTTTTAGAGTCATATTCTATCCCTTCATAGTAGTTACCCTTATTTTTGGCATATATATATATATATATATACATGTATATATATAAGTTGTTCTCTCTTTAAAATTTTGAGATAGTTTCTTCTAACAGATCAAAATATGCCCTAAATTTCTAGTGTATGGTTTTGTTCTACTCTCTTGTCTGATCACATTCTCTGCCTTTTTTTTTTGTTTCTTTTTTTTTTCTTAAATCCTCTTCTTTCTTTTTTCAAACAACTTCTTATCAATTCCTTTTATAAAATTTTTTATAATTTTCATCTTTACAGTCATATTCCATCCCTTCATCATATCAACCCTTATTTTTGCACATATGTAAGTTTTTCTTTAAAATTTTGGGAGGCACTTTCTTCTAACAGACCAAAATACACACAAAATCTAGTGTGTGGCACTGATCTATGCACCAGCCTGAGCATATTTGATCATATTCTGTTTGTTTTGTTTTGTTTTGTTCTGTTTTTGTTTGTTTCTATCTTTTTCTTTTTCTTTTCTTTTTTTTTTTTTCCATTTTCTTTTTTCTTTCTTTCCCTTTCTTTTCCCCCGCTTCAAGTCTTTTCTGATTTGTTTAGAGTATATTTTCTGGGGATGTTGTTACCCTGTTAGCATTCTTTCTCTCATTAATCTATTCTCCTCTGGACAAAATGACAAGACAGAAAAAATCACCTCAACAAAAAAGAACAAGAGGTAGTACCGACTGCCAGGGACCTACTCAATATGGACATTAGTACAATGTTGGATCTAGAGTTCAGAATCATCACTTTAAAGATACTAGCTGGGCTTGAAAAAAGCATGGAAGTTATTAGAGAAACCCTTTCTGGAGAAATAAAAGAACTAAAATCTAACCAAGTCGAAATCAAAAAGGCTATTAATGAGGTGTAATAAAAAATGGGGGCACTAACTCCTAGGATAAATGAGGCAGAGGAGAGAATCAGTGATATAGAAGACCAAATGATGGAAAATAAAGAAGCTGAGAAAAAGATAAACAACTACTGGATCACAAGGGCAGAATTCGAGAGATAAGCAATACCATAAGACGAAACAACATTAGAATAATTGGGATCAGAGAAGAAGAAGAAAGAGAGGGTCAGAAGGTATATTGGAGCAAATTATAACAGAGAACTTCCCTAATTTGGGGAAGGAAACAGGCATCACAATCCAGGAGGCACAGAGAACCCCTCTCAAAATCAATAAAAATAGGTCAACACCCCGACATCTAATAGTAAAACTTATGAGTCTCAGAGACAAAGAGAAAATCCTGAAAGCAGCTCGGGAGAAGAGATATGTAAACTACAATGGTAGAAACATTAGATTGGCAACAGACCTATCCACAGAGACCTGGCAGGCCAGAAAGGACTGGCATGATATATTCAGAGCACTAAATGAGAAAAATATGCAGCCAAGAATACTCTATCCAGCTAGGCTGTCATTGAAAATAGAAGGAGAGATAAAAAGCTTCCAGGACAAACAAAAACTAAAGGAATTTGCAAACATGAAACCAGCCCTACAAGAAATCTTGAAAGGGGTCCTCTAAGCAAAGAGAGAGCCTAAAAGCAACATAGACCAGAAAGGAACACAGACCATATACAGTAACAGTCACCTTACAGGCAGTACAATGGCCCTAAATTCCTATCTTTCAATAGTTACTCTGAATGTAAATGGGCTAAATGCCCCAATCAAAAGACACAGGCTATCAGATTGGATAAAAAAACAAGACCCATCGATATGCTGTCTGCAAAAGACTCATTTTAGATGCAAAGACACCCCCAGATTGAAAGTGAGGGGGTGGAAAACCATTTACCATGCTAATGGACACCAAAAGAAAGCTGGGGTGGCAATCCTTATATCAGACAAATTAGATTTTAAACCAAAGACTGTAATAAGAGATGAGGAAGGACACTATATCCTACTTAAAGGGTCTATCCAACAAGAAGATCTAACAATTGTAAATATCTATGCCCCTAACATGGGAGCAGCCAATTATATAAGGCAATTAATAACAAAAGCAAAGAAACACATTGACAACAATACAATAATAGTGGGGGACTTTAACATCACATCCCCCTCAGTGAAATGGACAGATCACCTAAGCAAAAGATCTACAAGGAAATAAAGACTTTAAATGACACACTGGACCAAATGGACTTCACAGACATATTCAGAACATTCCATCCCAAAGAAACGGAATAAACATTCTTCTCTAGTGCCCATGGAAAATTCTCCAGAATCGATCACATCCCAGGTCATAAATCCGATCTCAACTGGTACCAAAAGATTGGGACCATTCCCTGCCTATTTTCAGACCACAGTGCTTTGAAACTAGAACTCAATCACAAAAGGAAAGTCGGAAAGAACTCAAATACATGGAGGCTAAAGAGCATCCTACTAAAGAATGAATGGGTCAACCAGGAAATTAAAGAAGAATTAAAAAAATTCATGGAAACAAATGAAAATGAAAACACAACTGTTCAAAATCTTTGGGATGCAGCAAAGGCGGTCCTAAGAGGAATGTATATAGCAATACAAGCCTTTCTCAAGAAACAAGAAAGGTCTCAAGTACACAACCTAACCCTACCCCTAAAGGAGCTGGAGAAAGAACAGCAAATAAAGCCTAAACCCAGCAGGAGAAGAGAAATAATAAAGATCAGAACAGAAATCAATGAAATAGAAACCAAAAGAACAGTAGAACAGATCAAACGAAACTAGGAGCTGGTTCTTTGAAAGAATTAACAAGATTGATAAACCCCTGGCCAG